TATCCTATAGTATAGACCTAGCTATCTTATAGGATAACCTAATACCTTAAGTAGGTAACTATAAGATTTAAACTCCTCTAAAGCAATACTATAGTTAGTAATGCGCCCTAAATTAATTTAGGTTATAGTATTAGAAGTAGAGGAGGCGTCTAAGTTACTAAGGGGCACTAGCCTCTTTACTAACCTATTTATATAGGCACTATAGGACAAAGTAGTACTAGAAGATAAGATATACTAAGTGCGTCTTAATATAGTTTGAAAGGCGCTAGGTCTTTCCTAGTTTTAGCTAATACAAAGTAATAGATTAGGGACTATATAATTAGCGTATACAGCACTTTGCTTTAGAGGGGCGTTATTTAGTTACTAATATAGGAACCCCTTATAACTACTATTATATAGCAAGCATATAAATTAGGTTTAGTAGGATATCTAGGAAAGAACATAATATTTTAAATACTACGCTATAACTAGTATTAGGATAGAATATTAAGAGATATTATATAGTATATTTAAAACTACTATTATTATAGTGCTTATATCTCCTAGAAGCGCTAATAGGGTCTGTTATAACCTATACTAGTTACGTTATAATACTAGTCCTAAATATCTATAGATTTTATAGTTAACCTACCTATAAAAGAAAATTACAAACCTTAGTTCCTATTAGTTATTACTAATAGATTATCTAAATATATTTAGCTTAAAGTAATAGTCTCTATAATAGCTAATTATTGTGTAAGGATCTTCTAGGATAACTAGTAGCAGTTCTAGGGCTTCCTATCCTCTATTATTACTAACTAAGGCTCTAACTAGTTAGGATCTTTCTAGATAACGTTATACTAGATAACAAAGATAAACTAGTTACTATCTACTATATACCACCCCTAGATAGATAGCAGGATAGGAATAGGTAAACTAAGAAGTGCAAGTAGTGCTGCGTATAATAGTATGCTTTAAGCAGACTAACTAGCCTAACTATCTACTAGCCTACTAACTTACACTTAATAATAGGGACTCTAGTATAACTAGTATTAGCCTAAATCTACCCTTAAATAGGTATAATATAGATATGCTATAAAAAATAATATTACTACTAGTAAAGCCTAAGAATCCTTATAGAGAGGCTATAGCGTTCTTATTACACCTATAGAGAGGTATAGAGCTAGTGCAAGCTACTATTATATTCTAATAGTAATAATAATAGGAAGTAATAAACTAGTCCTAATACCTAGCTAAAAGGTTCCTAAAAGGTAATATAGTTTAGTTTATAATACGTAATATAAAGATAAACTAACTAAGTAAAAGGTTTAACTAGCTATAGGTAAAGTATAAAGTAATAGAAGTCCCTACTCTACTTATAGTAGTATTAGACTTACTAGGGAACTTATATAAGACTATATATATAGATCTACTAGAGAGAGCTACTAATAACCTACTACTAAGCTAGAAGCTTTAGGACTTATAATAAGGCCTAATAGTTACTCTAAAAAATAAAGACGCAATACTAGATAAATAAGAAGTAGAAGAGATCCTTTATATAAAGAATATAAGAGAAAAATAGAAGTATTAAGTCCTAGTAAAATAGAAGGGGTATATTAATCTAATATAGCACCTATTAGAAGTAGTAGAGGATACTAAGGCTCTAGATAGGTTTAAGGAATAGTATAGGGATACTACATATAATAAAAGCCTAATACGTATAAAAGCTAGGAAGTAAGGGTAAAAGGAAACTAGAATAATAACTTAGACCTTTATTATAATTAAGAAGTAGAAAGGTATTAGAGATATCTTTTATTTATCCTTATAACACTCTAAGTAACTACCTTACTACTAAAGTTTTATAATATAGCTAATAATTAGGTAGTAGTATTTATACTATTACTATCTATAACTAACCCTCTCTTAGCCCCCCCTAAACTATTATTTATATTATTCTAACGCCTCTATATCTCTTAGTAATAGTAGTAACGCTTACGCGTAGCGTAGGTAGGGGAAGACTTAGTTAATAAGTATAAGTAATAGTAGTAGTAGTAGTAGGAGGAGGGTAGTGCTTTAATAGTTTACTAATATATAGCACCCTAGGCCTAAAGAAAGTAAATATTAGAATAGATATAAAGGGAATAAGGGAAAATTAATACTAATAATAAGAGTCTTAATACTATAAGTAGTATACTTAGTTACGCTATAAAGCTTATTAATATAAAGGTTAGTTTAGGCCTAGGTCTTGTTTATATACTAGTTAATACGCTAGAAGGTAATACTAGTAGTAGTAGTAAGCTATATAACGTTATTATTGCTATAACTACTACGTAAAGGCGTAATAGCAGACTAAAGTAGAAATACTAGAGTACTAGTAGTAGATAGAATAATAGCACTAAGCTAATACTAATTATAGGCGCGTAAGTAGGTAGTAGGGGTAAGTAGAGTAATAGTATTATTAGTTTAAGCCCTTAATATAAGATCCTTAAAATAATAGTAGAGCTAGTAGAACTATATTATAAACTAGTAATAGGTACCTTTAGTAGGTTTCCCTATAAAAGTGCTAAGGGTCCCCTTCTTTATAATATATAGGCAATCCTCCTAGTAATAATAATAAAACTAAAGCTAGTTATAGAGGGCTTAGCAAATATTAGGATTATTACTAAGGTTAGCTTCTAATTAAGTATAAGTCTTATAGCTATAATAGTAGGACTTATATAAGCGCCCTAGATATAGTTAGAACTTACTATAAAGAAAATAAAAATTAAGGGGAACTTACTACTACCTTCCTAATAGTTATACTTACTAAAGAGATAAAGCTAGTTAATATACTAATTATAGGGAAGTAGCTTTATAAAGCTACTATTATACTCTTTATTATCTAAGTTACTAGAAATAATAAAGCTACTAAGTAACTATATTTAGGGAGATATATACTAAATAAAAGTTAGTATAGGAAATATAGGGGAGAATATTAGAAGTACGCACCTTATCTTAGTAGGCCTAGTATAGGGTCTAACTACCTTATAGTAGATCCCTACTACTAGTACTAGTAGTAGTAGATAAGGATATAATAGAGGCTAGATAGGCAGGATTAATAGAGAAGGAGTAGAGAGAGGGCTAATTAGTAGGGAAAATCTATTATATAATAAAGTAAGTTTAGGAAATTTATAGTAGGGGGGATAGCTATATTAGAACTTTTATAGTAAGGTACTAAAATAAGTATATAGATACAACATGTGTATACTACTTAATATATAGGCCTATTATAAATTAGGAAGGAATATAAAGATATAATAATAAAAGCTAAGAATATATAGTAATAAAGCCTAATATAGATTATAGAGGATAAAGATATAACTCTAAACCCCTAGAAAGACAATTTTATAATAGTTTATAGGGGAAGGTTAGGGGTATATAAAGGGCTTAGGCTTATACCTAAGCCTAGGTCTAATATAAGATAGACTAAGTCTAACACTACTACTAAGTATACACACTATACACCTATAAAAAGGCGTAGAGGGCTTACCTCTCCTTTAAGATACTAAATACTATTATTAACGCTTATTATATTCTCCCTTAAGGCTAGTCTATAACAGATATTATAATAGTAGTACCTCTAATAAAGCTACAGGTAGAGCTAGTAATAGTAGTAGGAACGCGTTAAATAGGTTAGAATAGGAAGCTATAATAATAGTAAATATTAGTAATAGATATAGCTAAAGTAGTAGAAGCTAATAAAGAGTAATTAATACAAGCAGGTACTAGTAAATAAAGCTAAGTATACTAGTAGATAAGCTAGGCTTATAACCTAATATAATAAGAAAGTATTAATTAAAGAAACTATAGACAAAGAACCAAGGTAGCTAGATATAGACATCCCTACTAGTCCCAAATAGGTGTCTCCTAGTTAACCCGGGATAGGCGAGTCGCTAATAGTGGTGGGCAGTCACCACCTTGGTATAAGGTAAGCACTATGGGTGATATAGAAATAACACGCATTACTTAAGAAAGGCTAGGACGCACCATGGTAAATTAAGTTATCCATAAGCTGCAGGCTGTGCAAGCTAGTAGCTAGACAGTACTCTGCCTCTTGACATATTCCGCTAAGGGGGGCAATTCTTTTTAGTATATTAAAGCGAAAACGTTGTAATGGCGAGTATTGATGAAGCAGGTAATAAGGAAAGCGTGGATTTCTAATTGCCTAACTGATAATCTCTCTCGATTAACAGCAAGTATTTGTAGTGGGATAAATATTCAATATAATGACAGCCTACCAACAAACAGTATCAGCATTGGTGGTTTAGTGGTAAAATTAGCCGTTGCCATCGGCTAGCCCCGAGTTCGATTCTCGGTCAATGCAAGCTCCGTTATTTTTGCGTTTGGAGAGTCCCTGGGAGGTGTGTGAGAAGTGAATGGTTCTGACAACGCCATCAAGCTTTTTTTCCCCCGTGGGACTCGTTCGAAAAAGGCTAGCGGGTTCTCGCTTAGGATGGGGCAATCTCGTCACACGGTCACACTGGAAAGCTTCAGATTCTGCGGGTATCAGCCAGTCAAGAAAAAGCTTCATTTTTTGTCCACCAACTTAACAGGACATTCACATACTATTGGGAGGGAGGAATCGATTGATCATGTCAGCCAGCTCAGTGCTTCCCCCGCATCACTTGCCTGCCGCATCGGGCTAGTTTGACAGAGCCGCCAAAATACCTGCCGAGGTCGGCACTCGACCCCATTCCCTCCATGGCACTGCTTAGCATGCACTTCATCCATGTCAATTCAAAGGCGTCTACCACTTGTCCTACTTGTCCTACTTTGCAAACTCCACTTGCCCATCACTGCAATCGAGTGCTCGGGAGATTCAACACATAGGTACCTATCGTTTCTGACAGGCCGCAAGTCCTTGTCACCTGCTGTTTTTGGACAGTCGCCCGATCAGCCACACCGTGAAGCATACCCTACAAAGAGTGAGCCACCCCCAGACAGTACGCGCTCTGATCACAGGTTGCACAACAATCTTCATCATGAAAGGCTTTGGCTTCCTACATCTTTCGTCTGGTATGTCGGTGCTGTCATCCGCCTTTCTCCGCTGACGGCGGTTTGCAGAGTTGCGGAACCGGATCTACCGGCTCGCCGCCCGGGATGCAGATCATGGAGTCGAGAAGCGCATCAGTCGCCGTGAAGGGACGACACCGGTCGACAGCGACTTCTATCGGTCACGAGGCTATTATGGCCTAACACAAACATGTCGACTGGTCCGCGCCGAGTTCCGTCTTCAACATCTAAAGGATCGTGCAATCTCTGTGCATATTCGAGACGCAGATGACTACCTCGACTCTGTCCTGACGCCGGAGGCTATTGCAAGCGAAAACAATGTTGGCTGGTTTTCGATCCGCGCCGACCGAGAGCGCAGGGATGATTATCCTCGGAAACTGCGCCCTCTTCTCTTGAAGCTGTACAGCGCTGCCAATCTTCAATTCCGCTTCACCGAAGGCCAAGGCCCATCAGTCTTCAACAACACGTTCCTGCGCTATCATCTAGAGTGGAAATATGCGCTGATCAACGACATCAAGCACATCGATGCCGAAGAAGCGAGTCATTGGGGTCTTCGTATTGTGCTCAATCCTGCATCTCAAATGAAATGGGTAAAAGACTGTACTCGCGCCTGGTTCCGCATCCTCCACATGTCCGAAGAAGCACTCGCGTTCTTTGCAAAGTTGGGCCTCAACCCAGAATCCGACATGATTTTCATTCGTAGAGGCACCAAGGTACCACGCGACATGACATCATCCGGCAAAGCAGCTAAGCGCAGCCTCATCGACAGAGCCAAGTCTGGTCGCGGCAGCGATGCGCAAAGTATTCACTCCAAGCGGCCTTTGCTTATACCCGAGTCGCGCTCAATGTCTTTTGCGACTAGCCTGACTCCATCTACCATCAATCAGGATACTCATCAGTAGCTGTACTCAAAATCATAGGTGGCAATGGCAAAGTCTGGCTCGTGGTTTAATTCGATATACCTAGTGTACCGCCTACACCAAGTGCACCTTTTTTTCCGGTACAAAAATATCCACTCTAATTCATATCATCATCACTGTCGTCACTCAGGTTTCCCTTCACTACTCTCTTTAGTCTCTCACATGCCCATGGTAGCTGGCCGCAACGGCCTTGCATAGGTAAAAGAATCGGCCAATGTTGACTCCCAGTGAAGATGACATTTACACCCATGAGCCCCGATGCAAAACAAAGCCACGTCATCGCGGAGAAATTCATATGCTGGGGCCTTCCAGATCCAGGGAGTCCGTGATCAACTCAGCATCATTTCAGCATTGATACTCCCACGCTGACCAAATGCCAGAATTGCGGAACCCTATACATGAGATACGTCTTGAAGATGGTCATGCTCGTGGCACTATTCCATGCTACAAAGTGGTATCGACTGGGACAAACGGCCTAAAGGATGTTCATCCGTTTACTTGCGTCTGCCGCTTCACCTGATGCGATTTCATGTCTACACAAGTTTCAGGGATTCCATAACCATATCAAGACATTTGGAAAGCTTACTGCGGAGCCCAGGCATACGGAAAATGACCATGTCCATGTACAGCAATACTAACAACACCACGAAGATCAATCCACCAGAACTGGGACTACATCCATCCATTCACTGTGGCTGGTGGGCAAACGGAATTCGGCAGCTTAGCCGGTCTTGTCCGATCCATCACAACCATCTGACGCGCGCCACACTTCCGTTCTTCCCGCTGCACTCACAATTCGGCCAACCACAACACGAGACATACAGGGCGAACATGGTAATGTGCTGCTAATGCTCGTTGCATTAAGCATTGCTTAGTGGTGCATGAGTGTTACGTGGCTTGCGCGTGCCGCGTCTCCCAGAGATACGAATCATACGATGAGTACATGTCTGGCGCGTGTCTTGAGAAGATGCTGAATAAATGGATCCGTATTATCTATCCAGTGACTTGACCGAAACCGAAATTTGAGCTCCGCCTCTGCGAGCCAACCTTATGATGGCAATTGAATCAGCGCTACAGCGCGCAGACCAATATATTCAAAAGCAAATGCACAAATTCGAGCAACAAAGAAGGGGAAGAACCAGTCAATCGAGGGTGTATGCTGGCTACGGTCAATTACCCCCACAGGAAAGCCATGTCTTCATCTGCCCATCATCTCAGGTCTACGATAGCCTTGCGGGCCCGCCACACACACCACCTGAAGGTCCCATAGCATCGCCATGCTGGAGACAAGAGTTTGACACGCGGAACCAACGCGGGTACTACACCGATTTTTCAACAGGACTTTCGCAACGGGAGTCACCATACTCGCAGCCGTTTCAAATACCACATCGCTCACAGACCTTCGTTGATCATCCTTCCTGCAACAAACCGGCAGAGCATCGTGACCATGATCGGTGGCCCCGCCAACGAGGGCGATCATTTTCACAGCCACAAACGCCCATATCAAGTGCAAGTGGACAAATGTACTTGAGCGTTGCTAAACCAGAGAGAAATGCGTCTTCACAGAGCCCGAATCGCCGGTTATCAGGGAGCGTACCACCTGGCGCACACTTGGACATGAGGACGGGGCAGTTGGTGTCGCACATGTTTCCTCCAGATCAGGACCCTAATTCTTTGGAACATGAGGTCGGGAAGGTGTGGTATAGAGGAGACGCTGCGTAGGAAATTATTGATTCCGGGAATTGTACGCAAGTGCCTAAGTTCAGTACTACTTTAAACACTTTATATTTTTGGAGGGGTCAATGATGATTTATTCTGTACTTGTATAATAAACTGCAATGACTGCAATACTTATTATGACACGATCAATGGCCTTGGACCCTCTAAACGAACTTCCAAAGCAACTCTGGGACTTGAGACAGTATTGAGAATCTCGATGCGCTTCACCTTGAAATAGAGAAGTTGACTTTTGGTCCCTAAACATCATCTCTAGATTTCCAAGCCTATGACATCGTCAGCATGCAGAAGCAATGCATTTTGTCCCATTTCACGATGAATGACCTATATTGGTTATGGTTTGGCAATGACTACCTCTTTGGCCAGTGCTGCTCATACACAGACTTGCTTGGCTACAACTTTTGGAATATCCATGTACTCTTCAGTGTGGAAACGATGCCAGTATTCGTGTACCAACTCGCCAAAGTAAAAAATCAATAGCGCTCGGCGGCCCTTAGATACAGCAGCTTACGGTACCTACCGCGGTACCTTGTTATTAGCGTTCCGTTGCATAAACCGCATACCCGCCCGCAGCATCAAAATGAGGGTCGAGATTTTCAGCGGAGCTCATGTATCTAGGCATTGTCTGGGTATATCTGAGCGGCGGTCCTTTTTCGATGTGGTGGGGTTGGTAAGTCGGCTTGTTCTATAATACATTGTACACATTTCGTGAATTCTAGGGTGTTGATTTCACTAGTATACTGCTTTTTTTGCCGGCTTGAAGCTGTGCTACTGCTAGAGTTCATGGTAGTGGATGTATTGATTTGCTGTACAAGTTAACGGTGTGGGATCATGTGGCAGTTGATGATTGTGGACACTATGACGAAATATGCGCATGTTCTTACTGGATCTATAAGTAAGTGCCTGCTGGCCATGTAGCTAATGAAGATACCTTTCTATCTGGATCATTTGTAGTTCCTTGATGCACCTCAAGTGGTGATTGCTCATTCAATATTGGCTGGGTTAGGCCCCAATGGAGATTTGTATGCAGCTAGATACTGAGACTTTCGGGCTATTGGTTCATTCTTTTTTATATCAAGCAGTCAGTTAATATTACTCTTATCAATCCTCAGAATGATTGTGTATCTATTCTTGCTTCAATCAGTTACTCGCTGTTCTCCTGAATCAGGTTGTGAGACCGATAAAAAGGGTTGATACTCTGATTTCAACACACATTTCGAGGCTAACACTATACCATACACCATCTCTGGTTCTAGTCTTTAAGTCGGTCGCTCATATATAATGCGTTATTTCGCCGTTTTAGCGAGCCTTTTTTGCCTGCTCTCGGTGGCCTTTGCCGCCTGGGGCCATACCGACGATGGGAGCAACTATGTCATTGACACCAACGCCAATCTGGTGGTCAAAGTCAGCAAGGAAAATGGAGACATGACGTCCATCGTGTACCGTGGTGTTGAATACAATGGGCAAAACGGCAAGAACTCGCAAGTCGAGAATGGTCTTCCTGGGGCTACGGTTTCGATCAAGAACGAAGGAAGCAACGTCATCAAGGTCACGGCGGAATTGGGCACCTTGACGCATTCCCTCGTCTTTCGAAACGGCAACCCAAACGTCTACATCTTTATAAATAAGGTGGATCTTAGCATACCAGCATCACGATACACCGTGCGTATACCGCCGGGGATATTCAAGCGCGATGGGCAGGCCGATTGGGCGCCCGAGATAGCTGTTGCAGGAGAATGGGGTGATATCGAATCATACAGCGGCCTCACTTGGTCCAAGCACTACACTGGAAGAAATTACGGTCGCACCATGGACTACGACTATATTGGATACCAGAATGCGAATGTAGGCATGTATCTGATCAGGTCTAATCGCGAGAAGTCATCTGGCGGACCATTCTTCAGGAGCATGTTACGACGTGGCGGTCCGGACGGAAACGATCTTTACGAAATCTTTTCCACTACTCAAGGTAGGCTCGTGAACGCGCACTTGCTTTGGGTTCAGCTGACATGACGAAGGACACACTGAAATTTTGCGTCTCGGTCTCCATGGACCTTCCGTCCTAGCCTTTACAGACAACGGTGCTCCGCCCAACAAGTATCTGTTCGCTCGCAATGCAGAGTTGGGTTGGGTCGACTCGATCAATATCAAGGGTTGGGTACCTGCCAGTAGACGCGGCAGTATATACAGTGGAGGTGTCGACAATAAGAAAAGCGAGTACAAGTATACCATCGGCTTGAAAAACAAACAGGCACAGTATTGGGCAGATGGGAACAATGGTATCTGGCGAATAAACGGTGTACTTCCTGGTACGTACGTGCTGACTGCATATAAAAATGTAAGTTTTGAAATCCTGTGACTTTGTGCGCATAGCTCAGCAATGATAGGAACTCGAGGTCGCGGTTTCAACTGTCATCGTTTACCCCGGCGAAACCGCTACACCAAAGATGCTTGTACCCGTTGATCCTTCTGATGAGAACCCTCTTTGGCGCATCGGAGACTGGGACGGTACACCCCAAGGCCTTCTAAACTTCGAAGACACCCCAATGAAGCCCACCTACATGCATCCCTCCGACTATCGTCGTCTGCACAAATGGGACCAAGGCATCTACAGGGTCGGCATCTCCAACTCCTCCCTGTTCCCAGGTTACCTGTGGAGGGACATCAACGACGATCGTAGAATAATCTTTCTGATGGAGGAGAAGCAAAGACTCCACGGAATGACAATCAGATTAGGAGTTACGCAAGGACAAGCAGGCGGACGACCGCAGGTTTCCTTGAATGGAAAAATCTGTCCCTTGAACAACGTCAGACCCCAAAGCCGCAATCGTACTCTTACTATCGGCAACTACCGTGGGAATAACCACATGTACGAGTTCGAAATCCTGGCTTCACAGTACACCGCGGACTTTGTGCAGGAGATGAGGATTGAGGTTGTTTCCGACGATCCTGTTATAATAGATGAGAATGGGGCTCGGCACAAGGGTCATGGGTACTTGAGTCCTGGTTTCAGCATCGATTGTATAGATGCAATTCTATCCCTTCTCTATTCTTGAGATGAGGAGGAATTCGGAGTTGTTGGTTTTCATAGGCGTATAGTCATTTAAAGGGCGGTTTCATGCGATTAAAGGGTTTTATTCCATTTTCTATTCCCATGTTTAGATTTTGCAGGAATAAGCATAGTGCAAATCGAGCTAGAATCCCATGATTCAAGCTTGTTATTGATACAAATCTCGGAACTTGGTATCATGCCGGTGTTTTGATTCCTAATGCTGTATACTTGTAGACAAATCTGCTTCCATGACATATTGTTCTTCCTCGATGGATTGGAACGTCGTTAAATTCCCTTGGTGGGTGCAGGTAATTCAAACTTCTTCTAGCAATCCTCGTGCGCATTTGAGATCTTGACAATATAGAAGTTATTAACAAGCAAAACTTGTCTTTTTTGATGAATGCTGGGAGGTGATCTCGGTTTCTGTTTGTTTGCTAAGAGGATACTAGAAGTGTTTGGTCTGATGTTATTTTGCTTGATTCATACTCCAGAGGCAAGCTGTTAAAATGTGACGTTTGAATCCGTTAACAGTGCAACAATAGGCATGCTGTAAACCGCTGTTAGAGATACATACTCTTGATATCTGAGGCAATGTATCAAATTACTCTAGCATTCAAAACAGCCTATAGAATAAACAATCAGATCTACAACTTCGCTGCTAAATGCACCAGCAACGAGCATGCAAAGTATTTTAATCGCAATCGATGAATGTTCTCCCCATGCGCCTCTTCGGTCCAGTCTCTGCGTCCTCCCTAGGTACCTCATTCAATTCATGAAGGTCATGTAGACAAATTGACGGCTATGGCACGGTGATAAGTCTCAGGCGCCGCAGAAGACAGTCGGTTACGCATGAAGACTGTAGATTTGAGAATGATGTTGACTTTGATATGGCGATGATGTCCCTGGTGCCAGGCTTCCTTATCTGACAGCTTTTGCGTTCCTAGTGAGTGAATAGTCTGTCAGCTCGAGCTTCCGAGGGCTGCTACCCGTGTTGTGACTCAGTATTGCAAACGCTGAGAGTGTTCAGGCTTACTCCGTGCATCTACTTCATAAAGGACTCTTTTTTGCACTTGAAGGAACATGTTCTTGTCTACTCAACAGCGACTTACTCACACTGAACAGCGACGTTCTCGGAATAGCTTGATTCACAATCAGTACCACATCCAAAACTTTGAAGGACACGTCCTTGACAGAATCTTGAGCACTATTAAACGTCCTTATAGTGAAGTAGAATGAAGACGTGGTTGCATTTTTGCCCATCGCGGAGGCATCGAATACATCTAGTGATGTCTCAAATTCCACATGAATGCAGAAAAGCAACGTGACGCACTTTTTACATATTCAAATCCAAATCTCCTACATAGTCTTGCCCTCAATACAGCTATTCCAAGCCTGCTCAAACCCTTGCCATCCCCCAACTGGCTCCTCACACATCTTCACATCACTAACCACCATGTCATAATACCCATCCTTGGGCAATTTTCCCTGACAAACATCCCCGCCCATGGCAATATTAATCATGATTCGGAACTCCTCCATTCTACGGGTGCCAAGCGGGATGTTGCCCTTCATAACAGGTCTGCCATCAATGTACCAAATCATGCGACCGCGCCAGTCGGGGATGCCATCTTCCTCTATCCAGGCGAAGCCAAAGGTATGGGGCTGGCGCGTCATGGTCGGAAGATGGGTTTCGACAACGCGATGCTTGTCGTGGTCTGGGCCGTTGAAGTGGCCCCAATGGAGGCAACTGTGGTTTACGCAGTCGCCATTCCAGGACTCGAAGATGTCGACTTCGCCGTCAGTAGGCCATTGAAAGGGGTCTTTTGGGAGCATCCAGTAGGCGGGCCAGATGCCTTCTGCGACGGGGGGCAGGATGGTGGCGGTCAGATAGCCGCGCGGGCGGTCGAGGGTCTGGTGTGAGGTCAGGCGTGCCGAGGTGTAGGTCCCGTTTTGGACGAGGCCACGGATGATGAGGCGGTTGTCGTGGTGGAAGGAGTTTGCAGGGCTATCGGTGTACATTTGCTTTTCATTGTTGCCCCAGCCATGGTCGCCGATTTCGTGGCGGAAGTTGGCGCTTACGGGTGTGTGGATATCGAAAGAGGGTTTCCAGTATACCTTTTCACCCTGGGGAGGGGGTATGTTCTGGGCTGGTGGTGGTTGAGCTGATGCCGGGCGGTTTTGCGGTATGGGAGGGGGGCTCTGAGGGGGGCCCGAGTGTGGTTTGCTAGCTGCTGGAATTGGAGGTGCCCCAAATGGCTGTTGCGGAGGCGGAGGTCCCCATTGCTGTTGTTGTTGTTGCTGCTGCGGTTGCGGAGGATACTGACCTCCCGCGTACGGAGCCTGCCCTGGTGGAGACTGAGGCGGGGGATATTGGCCTCCCGCGTACTGCCATTGGTTCTGGGGTGGGTGTTGTTGCGGCGGAGGTTGACCACCAGGATATTGCCCCTGATATGGTGGACTTTGGGGTGGAGGATACTGCCCGCCTGAGTACTGGCCTTGATTGTAGCCTTGTTGGGCTTGCTGGCCCGGATAGCCCGGGCCCGGGAAGGGCTGTTGTTGTTGTTGTTGATGCTGCTGATGCCCGCCTGGCTGACTGGTGAATTCCTTGACCTTTGCCTTGCCCTTGGCCAGCAGCTTGTCCAGAGTGCTCGTCATCTTTTATTGGCACCACCCATGGAAGAGAGCAGCAG